GGGGTTTCACCATGTTGACCAGGATGGTCTCGATCTCTTGACCTCGTGATCCACCCGCCTCGGCCTCCCACAGTGCTGGGATTACAGGCTTGAGCCACCGCGCCCGGCCTACAAATACTGTTTTTAAAAGGTACCCTCAAAAAACAATTATTGAAAAAGTTATATAATATTAACTTGGAAAATACTGGATTGAAGAAAATCTTACTAGATTCTCTCCTTCAAGATGTCACAGGCTTTTGATATTCTAGGGTGCACTGTAATTTTCTAAGATAAGAATAAAATATACACTGCCTCCCAAATTTATTTGACCATGGAACAGTTTTTATTCTGGATTTACCTTTTGAAACTACAAGGCTAATTCAGGAAATAGTGACTTCTTTCATGTACTTTTTTAGAGTTGGTCAAGCCAATCAATATTGAATGTTCACTGCACATAAGACACTCTGCTCTGTTATAGGTTCTTATATAAAGGAAAAACACAGTCTCACTACTTAAAGGAAAAATAAAAAAAAATTGTAATCATCTAATGAGGGAAATAATTGACAAATGATAACCCATAAGTACATTAAAATAAATATTATTTTAAATATTTATTATTATATTTTTTAACTTAAAAAAATTTTTTTAAACATGAAATGCTTCACGAATTTGCGTTGTCATCCTTGCACAGGGGCCATGCTAATCTCTGTATCATTCCAATTTTAATATATGTGATGTGGAAGCGAGCTCAATATTTATTTTAAAGTATTTATTTTTAAATAAATATTATTTACTACTATAAATAAGAAGTAGGCTCATTGTTATGGTGATGCTTGTCATGGGTCTTGGAAGTAAGGGAGCATTTGGCATGGAGAGATTGGCATGGGTTGGTGCTAGAGGCAGAACAATAAAGAGTACAAATCAGACAGACCGGAAAACCTAGGCTTATTTGAAAAACAGCAATTAAACCAATCTGTCTATACAACAGAACAGGAAAGGCCTGAGACATAAGGCTACAAAAAAAGGCTGGGATATGGAAGGCTGTCCACAAAATCAGTCTTGGATCTCTGTAACCGCACCCTTCTGCAATGGGACAGACATTGCTGCTCTTCTGTCAATAGCAGCTTCTCTCTCCTGACAACTCAATACTTGGCTAACCTCCTAAACAGTCTTAACCAATGAAATCTCTGAAAGTAATGTGTGACTTCCAAATCTTGGCCCTGAGAAGCCCTGCAGGTTCCACTCTCACCCTCTGGGAACCCTGAGGTCGCCACCTGACCCAGCCCTGGGTGGCCCCCTTGAGAATGAGAGATCTTGCGGAGAAGGAGGCCTAGCCAACAACTAGCCAATACCAGCCATGAAATCACCTTACATCATCCAGTTCCAGTAAAGCCACTAGATGACTGAAGCCTCATGAATAGTTCTAAGTGAGATCAGAAGAAGAATCACCCAGCTCAGCCCAGGCCAGACCGAGCAAACAAAATTGTTCGTTTGTTAAACCACTAAGTTTTGAGATGGTCTCTTATGCAGCAATAAGCAACTAATACAGTATCATATATTATTGGGGAAGGTTTTAAAGGATAAAATGGAAAGGTTTTTTTAAAACAGACTTTATTTTTTAGACCAGTTTTTGGTTCCAGCAAAACTGAGAGGAAAATATAGAGATATCCCATATGCCCTCTGCCTCCACACACACACACACATGGCCTCCCAGCTTATCACCATTCCCCTTAATTTATCTTTTAACATTAGGTTTGGTAAGTAAAGGGAAGCACATCCTTTTTATTATTGCTGGAAAAAGGATACGTGAAACAAAGGCTTATAATAATGAGTTCAAACAACTTACGCAAATAAAGCCAGTTTTTATATCAGTCTTTTCTTAAATTATACCATCTAACTTAATCACTAACTTTGCCTTAACTAGTCTCAGTGAAAGACAATTTCCCCAAATAGTTCAAAAAACAGAACATCTAGCTACTATAGTTTACTTAGAAAAAAATGTATTACCTCAAATACATTCTTTTTGCTGGATTTATCCTTTGAAGCCATCTCAATTGTTGCTCCCTTGAGATCCACTGTGAACTCTGGTTTGGACTGATTACTCCCAAACTTAATTTTTGAAAAAGGAAAAAAAATACCTTCATGTGATCATCATGTATATGTGTATTCAAAAGGAACTAAAAACAATGTAATATTATTAACAATAAATCAAACAGATTTTCTCAAATTCTTTTCTCCTTTATAAAGTAACAATTTCTACTTTAAAATTGAAAAATATCTAGAATATATGAATATACAATTCATAGAAAACAAAATAAAATTACTCAATTTCCATCATTATATAAAATATATATACATAAAAAGCAAGCTGAAATCTTTTTTTAGTGTAAGAATGGAAAAAATTTTTTCCAAAACTATGTTGGTGAGGCTGTAGACTAAAAAGGCCTCATATGCAAGTGGGATATGAACTGGAACTACTCCTAGAAAAGAAAAACTGGTAATGCTATATTTACAAATTTATAAATGTATGTATACTTTGGCTTGGCAGTTATGTATCTTGGAATTTATCCTAGACTATACACGACTGTGTAAAATGCTATGTACACAAAGGCAATAATATATGTAATAAACAATATCAGGTAGATAACAAGTGCATTTTCCACCTCATAAATGTTCTCTAAAACTGATTTTGTCCTTTTGAAGTATTTCCTTATTGAGTTACATTGTTAACAATAACTTGTGGAAACAGAAAACACTAAGTCCCATGTTCTTTTATTCTGTCTTTGTTAGAAACTGTGACTAGAGACAGATGCTATAAAGCTTCAGCAACTTAATGAGGAACTATGAAAAGAATGGGAAGACAGTTGTTATGGATGGGTTCAGAAGAAAAAGTACGTAGCTAGCTATTATATTTTGTGAACTACATAAAGAAAGATCAGCAAAAATGTAGAAAATTTATGTTAAATATACACTACTCTGTACCTTGACATCTTTAAATTTCTGTTTAGTCTGTTAACTAAGAATAGAAAGTAACATTCCTACGGTATTGAAAGGCTTGAAGGTTTTAAAACCTCTAAGGTCTACTGAATTGTAATCTAAAGGTCACAAAAACTATTATAAATATTTCCTACAGATAATTTCATTTGCTAAAATATTTTCAAATCAAATTAACTTGTCATTAGAAATTATCTTATCCAACCTTGTGATAACATATTCAGTATTTGTGATCACAGTAACTCTACTCTAGGAGCTTCACATTTAAAATATAGTTTGCCTTAACCTGTTCCCTTTTACATCTTTTTAGCTAGCAGTATGAATTTAAAGTACTAATTTTAACAAAATTTAGGAGTTACATAAAATTTACTAGTAAAGGCAAATTTTAGGATATGACATGGAATTTATGGAATCATAATAAAAATCACAATAGAAATTTTAACTGTATTCTACAAGTCTTTGCCTTAAGTACCTTTTGTCAATCAAAAGACAAATTAAACATAAAGCTGTATGTTGGGCACAGACAACTTCCCAAGCAGAAATGATATATTGCAAATGTTATCAAACTTGAACATATAAGTTAACAAAATGACATATATCAATTATTTAATTTGTTGTCATTATACATGCTGTAGATGGCTAGCTCTAAGCTAAGATGCAAATAAGCAACCAAATAAGATATAGCAATTAAATATAAATACAATGACGTGACATGGAATGCTAAAAAAAAAAAAAACACAATCAGTATAGCTGGCAACCTTTTGTTATTCTTTTCCACAATCTAGTCCCGCTTTTCCCTACTATAATCAACCTCCCACCAACGTATTCACAGCAAAGAAAACATAATTATTGTGGCAAAGGGCATGCAACAGGAACACATACAGTGACGGCTGAAACAGGATCAGACTTTACATATGCAACAGCAGGCCGATGACGGACAGAGTTTTTCCAAGAAGAAAGCAGCGAAAGCAAGAGCTCAGAGACTGAGCCTTGTTGGCAGAAGGACTTGATGGAAAAGGGAAGAAAATGATGATGTCATAACAATGCACAATGGCAAAATGACACACAAGAGCATAATGGAACCAGACAAGACAAAGATGCAATTCCATATGCAGACATACAATTTAAGCAAAGCTAAATTTCCAAATATTTTTGCAAAGGTCCTAGAATTTATCCTGATTGTTGTTATATACATTTATTTTTTAAGATGAGTGCTTTATAGAATTTATCTTAAATAGACTTGTGTTAGGCATTGAGAGGAGTCATGTTGGGCCCGCCACGAGCTTGATAGATCCTGTCCAAAAGCCCCGAGCTTTCACCTCGTGACCTGCTGAGCAGTATCTTCTGGTGTCCCTTTCCAAGTAGGGAGTAGCCCTACCATCTAGCCTGCCTTTTCCTTCCTCTAGGACACTGATACTTCCTCTAGAAGACAGGGAATTTTGTCCTCTGGCAGACATCTGGCAATATTTGGAGATGTTTTTAGTTGTCACAACTACAGGCAGGGTGCTAGTCATCTGCTAAACACCCTACCATGCACAGGACAGCCCACCACAACAAATAATTATCTGGCCCAAAAGAGTGACTATTTCTAGAAATTTGAAAGCATGTACAAATGATGTTTGAATAAACTACAAATGAATGTTTGAATATTTATGGGTTAATTTTTTAAATGCTCAAGGAATATGATGAATGATTACTGAGAAGCAGCAAAACGTATGTCACGTCCCACTGAACCTGTTCACTTGTTAGTGTTTCCCATTACAACATGAGCTTTGAAGACAGGAACCATGTTATTTATTTCTAAACTCAAAGCTTAATAATGTCCAGAACACAGCAGACTTTTAGGTGTATTGAACAAACAAACAAACAAACATACACACATACATTTCTGAGATGAAACGAGGTGAGAAAAAACAACTATAAGTTTATGTTACTGATATAACAATCCAATGGATAACTGTTTTCCAGAAAACCACTGGAAGGTATCAGTCCTAGAGGGGTAGGAAAGGCTCACTAGATTTTTGGACGAGACAGCACCAATGTAAAATATTTCTTATAAAGTGGAATTACAGTGAAATTGCATGCAGCCTATGTGCATTTCATTTACACAATTTTAACCATTTTCTGCAAAAAATATATATAAATATCAATTCAAAGCATGAATAATTTAAAAAATAGAACTTTGAATAATGTGGGTGACTTTGTTCTATCAGTGAGTACATGCCCTGGAGTGAGTACAAGATTTGAAACTGCTTTCCTCCAGTGGATCTCAAGTTTTTGTACTAAGTGTGAATCTAATTTTTAAAGAACTATATAGATTTTTCCTATAATGTGGCCCCTTAACATAAGCCATTCAAACTCAAATGAAGGAAAAGATATTCCTTTTAACACCAAAGGGAATATGGGCTCTGCTAAAGATCAGCTTCTGTATAGCATCTTCCTAAAAGAGCAGTTTTCACCAGAGTTGATTGTTGGTTTTTTGGCTTATATTTCAGTCTTAGAATCTTGTCCTCAGGTAAGATGTGATTCTGCTGTATAAACAGAAGACATTTTACCTATAATAGATCTAGTTGGTGACTGAGCAGATCAACAAAGCTACAATTCTTTAATATTCTTTTTGATAATCCCAATTCCAGAGTTAAAGAGCATCTTGTATGTTTCTCTAAATTTTGATATTTATGAATATTGACTGTACAACCAAGCATTTTACCACATCTTTAATCTTGTTTAGTCTTTACTGAGACTATAAAATGGTG